GCTGGACTGTGATCAGTGCACGATGGTCACGCAGTACGGAAAGCCGATGTACACCAAGGTACGAGGCAACTCTGCACAATTTGTTGCACTTGCAGCATAGAACTACGCTTCAGATCGTCAATATTTATACACTTAATTGTTGAGTTAAACCGAGGGGTAAACCGCTGACCACAATCACGTACACCAATGCCTACTAATGTCCAGCGGGCGTTACTTAATCTTATTATCTTGTTTTGTCTTATTTTACCTTTATAATGCCCCAAAAAGTGTCTCCACCCACAGAAAAGAGTTCCGGATCCAATGCTATTACACTTGAATGTGTCATAAAATAGGATCGATCTAGCGCCAATCGAATTTTTTATAGAGAGAGGAACACTTTAATCTTAAATGAAAAATTCCAAAATCTAGAATAAAATGATAGTCTTTTGTCGAATATCGTGGTGCCAACTTCGCGCGTTGTAAGATGGAGGGAGAATTTATTCTAAACGCAAGAATATACAAAGTTACTCTTGTCTCAATGTAGCAAGTCAATCTTTTTTAATTCGACGGAGAACAAGAATTATCGATTTCATTTTGATATTGTCTTATTTTTATACTAAATGAGATTGTGAGAAATATAAATGCGTCAAGAATATTTTCTGTCTCGATAACAGAAATCCTTTCTGAGGGTGTCGTAACGTTCAGCAGGGTTGGGAAGTAACTCGTTACTTGTAACGAAGTTACAGTTACTTTTTTTTGGGTAACTCTAACTTAATTTCGTTACTCTCTCTCTATCTGTAACTGTAACTTAACTCGGTTACATTTTTTCGATAACTAGTAATTTAATAGCTACATTATATATTTTTTAAACCTTCACGGATCGCATTACGCCTTGCAGTGGCGCATAAACGTCTTTATCGGCGCTTCACAATTTAAATGCAAATTTGATATGTTTATTTTCATCGCAAGAAAGTAACTGCGAAGTAGCGATTCGTTACTTTTTGAGTAACTGTAACTAGTTACATTTTTAAGAAAACCCGTAACTAGATATTTTTATAAAGTAACTTTCCCAACCCTGATGTTCAGTAATGCCCTCAACGGTTTACCCTCCCCCCCCCCCCTCCCCAAGTCAAACAAAAGTGTCTAGGAATAATTGAAATAGATCGAAAAAAGTAATCGCGATACGCTATCGCAGTTTAAATAGAAACGCGTCGTCGGAAACATTCATTATTACATATTATAAATTATGTTGTGCATAATAACATACATTTTGAACAAATAGACTATGTCGCTGTAGAAACTACCGCGCGCGCCGTAAGTGAGTCGATGCAATTGGGTGGGACGATTGTTCTTTTCTCGAGCAAAAACAAAAGAGATATCATAAAGATAAGAAGGATTAAAGTTTAATTGGATCTCCATAATTTCTGTAAAAAAAAAGAGAGAGAACCTGTTTCCCGGCGGGAAGTTTAAGTTCTGCGAACTCTCTCCACGGCGACGCGCGAAATCAAGCGCCCTCGAAATAGCCGCGGCGGATATTGTCATCTGAAACTTATTTTAGGTGTTAACGGAGGGTAGGTTAATATTGGAGTTCACCTTCGACGACCTCATGAGGATAAAGTCGTGGCATATGTCGGTGAGGACGCATCGGGAGCTGGTGCCGAGGAGCGTTGTCAGTATGCAGCAGGACCCGACGATGCTCGAGCAGATTAGCAAAAACATCACCAGGCAGGGCATGTCCAACTTCACTCTCAACTACCTTAGAGTACGTATTGTATCGGCGCTGCGAGTGCTGTCTTAATTTTACGCTGACGCATCTGCTGCCAGATCGACCGTTCTAAATCCAACTCAACTTTTCCGAATTTTACGAAACTTCTTCAACAATGTAAGCTCATTAGGGAAGGGACCGAGTCTGAGACGCTCGTGGATAGAAAGTGGGCAAGAGTCAAGTTGCTTTCTCGATTATTTTCATAGAAATAAACGCCGGGCTATCTGGACCGGACGTTTAAATCGTAAGTTTGGAGCGAGGAAAACACAGAATGACACGATTACACGCAACGTTTAGCAGTGTTCGACTGGCGCGTCGCACGCGCCGAGATACGAGGGGGGAGTGTTTCGTCGCGTGTTGATTTGTAAACGGAAAAACTATCGGTGACGAGCACGATAGAGAATTGTTGCTGCGAGAAGGTGTGTCGGTGCGGGTCTAGATCGGAACACGGCGTACGCCTGCCTTCTCGAAAGTATCTCCGGCTATCCGGGTTACGAGCCACCTTTTTTCCGCGCTCGGAAGCGCTTTCACCGAGGGGGGGACGACCGCGCATTCCGCGTGTATCGTCTCGAGCCAGTCGAAAAGTCCGTCGATTGTTGCGTCGGGAAAGTCCCTCGCCCATTGTTGAACAGCCGTACGATATTCGGAAACGCGCGAGAACGGCCGCGTCTCGAGTAATTTCTCCGCGCGGACGATACTTCGACGTATCGTCATCGCGCGAACGCTCCGATCGTTCCTCAAGTGACGGTTTGTTCACCTTTTACGCCCGCGTAACGAAAATGCATGTACAAGTAGAGGGAAGTCTCCCCTATTATGAGACGAGCTTCCGATACGAGACAGCAGGTTTCCAACACCCAAATTCACAAATCTTATTTCGCAACGATTACGCGATCTAACAATGTATTTTCCAGTGGACAGATTTCGCTTGAAGAGCAACGAATTCATGCTGGAACCAACAGACGATGCCTACTCATTTAACAGAAACCCTGTTATCTCGTATTAGGAGTCTGTCTTAAGTGTCCACGATGCTAGGTCCAAGTTCTAAATTATCATCTTAAAAGATTGACTAAAAAATGTACAAATTTTCTGTTTCCGTTGATTCCGTGTACGTTCTCAAACCGGAAGCTATAGGGAAAAGTCCCCTGTTACAAAGGCCTGTGTCCACGATGCTAAGTCCAAGTTCTAGCTTGTAACAAAAAATTGTACATTTTTTTTATATAGGGACTAAACCATGTACGACGATTCTTTTACAGTTATGCGTGATCCTCGAGCCGATGCAGGAGCTGATGTCGAGGCACAAGGCGTACGCGTTGTCACCCCGTGATTGTCTGAAGACGACCTTGTTCCAGAAATGGCAGAGGATAGTTGCCCCGCCGGGTAAGAGAGGTAGACGAACAGTTGCTTTACATGAGAAGCACCAGCCAGTGAAGCCAAACGGCCGTCAATCCTAATAGACACAACGTGAAATCGGTTTATTTCCTATTCGCGAAATGACGCACTTGTCGTCGATTTTGTTCGTCTCTTCGCCACGCGTGCGATACTTGGTTCCGCCGGTGTTTCCTCGTCGAGCGTGAAACTTTGCGATTTGGTTCGGAATCCTCCGACAGTTAGATGCACTATTGACAGTCCACCGCTGCTTCTTTCATCAATCAAATTTCAGCCAAACGTTTTGAGTCACTTTGCGATCAAGTTACTTGGGCATCACTGTATGGCTGAAACTTTGATTCCTTTTTTAATTTTAGAAATTGTATCGATCGATGTCGCAACACTCGGTGATTTTTCGATTCGTTGCTCACGTTGCTTTATCTTGCTTGTACGTGCACCGCGTTTTCCATTTCACTTGCGACTTTGTGCACAGCTCGGATATATCCACCCGGCATTCGTTCAACTCGACAAAACCGTGGAACCAAGCGCGTGTAACGCCAAATAGTATGATGCCAAACGTGTTTCTCTGTAAGCGTCGCTTGAGAGTGCAAAGTAGCTCGTGAGAGAAAGATAGAAATAAACTTAACACATGCCTATGTGTTTGTTTGTCTATCGATGCATGCTTGTGCTTGTGCGTGTCAGAGACCTTTGATAATGAGAAAGGTCCACAGCTGGGTAGTGCTCTTAAGTTTATCAGTGTGTAGCTACACACGTGGCCAAACGTGGCCGGCGAATGCGCGCAGCGTCGTGCTCACAGCGAATCGCTTCTTTTCCAGAATCTCAGCGACCGGCCAGCAAAAGAAGAAAGCGGAAGGGCAGCACATCCGGACCGGGAAACAATGCACCCCCGGCTCCCAGTAAAAAACGCTCGCCGGGGCCAAATTTTTCCCTAGCGTCGCAGGTAGATCTCTCGAATTTTCTCAGCGAAGCTTATTGTTGGCGCGCCGCCGATCGTGGAAGCAGGTGCTAATCGAATGTCTCTTTACCCCGCTCTAGGATGTGATGGTCGTCGGTGAACCTTCTTTGATGGGTGGTGAGTTTGGTGACGAGGACGAGCGATTAATCACAAGGCTGGAAAACACGCAATACGATGCCGCAAATAATCTGGACCCTCACAGTCATGATGCGTCCGGTGGACCGCCGCCACATCCTCATCAGTTCCACTCGGAACCGACACCGGGTAATTCCTGGCCGCCAGACCGTGGTCCTGGTCCACCACAGGGGGGTCCTGGCAGTCAGGTAATCATTTCTTCACAGCAAAGCCAAGGCTCGAAATTAAAGAATGCGCTTACACGCGCCCAATTTATTGAAGTAAACATAAACATTCAACAAGTTTCAAGTGTTGTTGAATCAGTCGGACTAATTCATTAAAATGACTGATATTAGATATAGAAAGAATTACTTGACTTCTGAATTCGGAGATCGGTGTCATTATTTGGTTGATATCTCGGCAAAACCAATACTAAAGATGCTCAACTCCACAGAAGATTAAAGAAAGATAAGATAGAAGGTTTAAGGAAAAGGTATTGACTCCATCTTCGAATACTATTCAGGATACTATCCAGGGCGCGTTGTAACAATGGGTGCTTGTGTGCTTTAGGGGGTCCAGGGTGGTCAGGCGGGTGCGGCCGCAGGTGTACAGGGAACGCAGGATGCCAGTCAACAGCAGCAAGACAAGAAGAGCCCCGCGGTGAGCCAGTGAGGCCAGGAGTCCCCGCGCCCCCCCACCAGGGGGCGACGGGGGCGCAGGCCCAAGAACGTGGCTCCCTAGCGGGGCGAGAATCCTAGCCTCCCCACTGCCGCCGCCTATTTGGCCTCCGCGGCCGGCTCCATGACTGGCAGGTTGTCGTCGCACGTGGGCATGCTACCGCCGCTGGCCTGCCAGCCCGGCTTGTCAGCAGCAGCTCCACCGGGCCACCATCATCCGGAGCAGCATCCGCAGTTGGGTCACGTGGCCGCCGCCGCCGCCGCCGCCGCCGCTGCCGCCGCCTCGATGGGCATGGAGTCCTCGGAACTGATGGCGGTGGCTCATTACCAGGCGCAACAGCTGCAACGGCAGTTGTTGGCCGAGCAGTCAGCTCCGGGCACCACGATGCTGCCGCCTACGTCTGCTCAGCCTACTGGTGGAGGCTTGATGCAGTCGCAGGGCCTCCAAGGGCAGCAGCAGGGCCAACTCCAGCCGGGTCAAGACCCGCTACAGAGCTTGGTGCAGCAACTGCTCTGTCTACAGCAGATAGAGTACTTCCTCGCGCAGCGCGGTCACAAATGAGTACACTTGACAGAATGTAATAGGGCTTTGGAACTCGATTCGACGAGCGGGTCACGTGTTTGTGCCGGTGGAAAAGTGCTCTGATTCGCCGATAGGTCAATTTCGCGCCAAATCGTTGTACGAGACGCTGTCGAGAATAAGCGGATGAGGACGAGGACGGACAGTACGCGGCGGCATCTGCTCGAGTTTGTACGCTTTTTATAATTCTCGAACGGAGGGGGAGGTAGCGCGGTGTCTCCTGATCCACCACGACGATGCTGGAAGATTGCGGCAGATAGGAACAAGAGGAAACAGCGGCGGTTGCACCCGCTCGTGGATCGCTGTGTCGCTTTGGGACATCGTGCGAACGGACGCCGATCTCCGGCAGAGAGGAGGTCAAGTGTTTTAGCGTGTGATAAAAAAACTTTATGTCAAAAATTATGTTAAATATGAAAAGTGAAACTTTTAATTGGGGGAAAGGGGGTGAAAAATCGCTCGCGCATGAAGGAGATGCGAGAAAGAAGAATGTTAACGCCACGCGCGTCAGGGACGATTTTCGCTCTGGTGCGATCTGTGAATGAATCTCTATCCGTCAACAGTATTGATAATTAATAGAGTAAATGAATATATATATATATTATATTGTAAGAACTATACATATATATACATATATATACACACATACATACATATACATATATATATGTATATATAAGTACGTATTTGTGCAAACGTCAGTGTGCAAGTTAGGCAGAATGCGTGGTGCGATAGTCTGGGATATGTGGATGAGAGAAAGAGAAAGAGCTAGATGAATGTAAGAGGGTATGACTGAGTGAGCGGAGACAGAGGAAGAATGAAAGAGTAAAATGCGATAGAGTCACCTTGGACTCGAAGACTTTTAAACGCGGGGACCGACCGAACGAACGCCAATGCACAGCCTCGTTGATTGCCAAGGGCTCGTTGTAGAATTTTATCCTTTATTACTACTATATATAATAATAATAATTTGACGAACCACGGGAAAGAGTATTTTGCACGTTAAATATGTAAGAGAGACTTCGTTCCAAAGGTTCAACACGGTTGGTATGTGTAACAGTGAGTGTAAAGCTTTCTCAAAACCGAGACGCGAGACACGGAAACAGCCCCCCACGTTGCGGGAGAAGGAAAATTGTAAGAGCGTTTTTAACATTCGTCGTAAACGAGCCTCCAAGTGTTTTATGTTTAGAGTTACATTGCGGTACGACACGTAGCACAGCACGTACCCACGTCTTACGAATTGTATGTCGAATTCTAACTTTATATATACATGTATATGTATATCTAGGTGAATACTTTACGTTCACTAATCTGATTGTGCTTTGTTTTTTTAACGAGACTCCTTTTTTTTATAACGGCAACATTAGGACCTTATCATTTTCTTCGCGATAAGTACGCGCGCGTGGTGATTCGATACTTTGTACAATGTATGTTCAGATGAAGGCACATGAATGCACACAACACGTACGATATGTACACGTAAAATCCGAACCAAGTTCCTTGCGTGTTACGTTTAAACATCATGTATATGTTCCTCAGTTTGTTTATATACGTCGCATATGTTCCTATTTTTATATTGCTCTTTGTGATTCGTCATGTTCCCTTCTTTTAGCATTCAGAGATGATTTTTATAAGATTTTTAACGGCAAACTTTTTATTTAAATCATCGAGATACACTACTTGTCGATCAATGTGCCCCTTCGGGTCTTCGAATAATCATTTGCCTTTGTCTGCGGTGGCTCGTCATTGCGGGTGGTTTATTTTCAAACTTTTGGATCGAGGTGAAATCTAACAGTTTCAAAATGCAATTCGTAATGCAGATCCTGATATATCATGTACGTTATTTCCGACACGTTATATGTATATCCCGGGAGGAGTGTTTGCTTTGACGAGATTCGAAGTTACACATGCGTCGAAATGTAAGAAAGGGGAACATCGTTTTAGTTGTAATTAACTGTACATCACACAAACTGCGATTCGTCGGTGTTTTCCCGCGGTGACTCTCCCGGGTCACGCGCGTCGAGCGCGACGTAGGTACGAGCTCTGCTTCGATTTCGGAATACAAGCTCTTCGCACACAGCACACAGGTACATAGACACAAACACACAAGTAATTTGCGTGTCACGAATCGCCCCGGCTCTCGCAAACACTCCGTGTCGATGTAGATCGCGGATCGTCGCACGAGCTGCTTCCACGTCGTTGTCGTTAACCGATTAAGCGGGTCCGCGGCCGGAGAGGAAGTTTCCGGCTTTCAGTTTCCCTCCGCTTGGCGAGGCTTAACCCCGAGTCACGTTTTGTCCCGTTACCATTCGTTTGATCGCGGTCCAAAGAACGGGAAACGAGCGGCGTTTTGCTGGCCGCGAAATCTTCGAATCCAACTATTCTCCGGGGAGAGAATAGCCCCCCCCCCCGCGAGCGGACGGGGGACTGAAGCTCGTCCGATTTTATCGAGGGCACAATCGGAGGGAGGGGGGCGGAGGCGACATGTTATACATATAAATGCCGGCGTTTCGTCACGTCCGCAAACTCTGCGTCTTCCCAAGGCGTGAGGGAGCATCTTCCGCGGGTCTTCGTCGGGAATACATTTTTAAATATGTACAAAGATCATTGTCTCGTCATAGTACACGCACGGGCGCGCGCGCAAACACATAACACATTATTCGTGTAATATCTCTCTCTCTCT